ACGCACAGTCGAGAGGCTCGCACGCGAGGTGCAGCACTTCTGCGTGGGACGACCAGGGCCTGTATACGTGTTTACCATGCGTGTGTGTATATATAGGATAGCTCGTATAAACTCGCTACTGTTGTATCGATCTTGATTGCCTGGCGACGATTTATAACAATTTTTCACTTGCAAATGGCCGAGGCATTCAATTGAAAAATAAAACGAGATAATGGGCACACATCGGGCGGAATGAAGAAGTAACGTGCCCCCCCCCCCCCGCGTCATTTAGCTAACAGTGCTTGCGAAACGAGCCAGCGAACTTTGCAGCGCTTACGCGCATTTTATACGTTTGCGCTCGCTGTTAGCGATACCGTGTTACTCTTTTGTCTCGTTTTTTTCTTCTTCTTTAAGCGTTATTTTTGCACTTGGCGTTTAAATCTTGGCGAGCTGCTTTCCGCGTGAGAACGGAGCTTTTACTCTTGTGCCTCTTTATTTTTTATCTCTGGCGCTTTCCGAGGTACTTATGCTCTTGTTGTCACCAACGGGGTAATATAAGTGTTATGATTTTGTTAAAATACACACGTTAATAGGAAGACATTTGAAGGGTATAGGGATAAGGGAAGTATCGAAAGCAGTATAATATCAAAAGCTATTGTAGACTGAAGTAGCTTGAAAAAGCAGTTTTTTAACGAGTTGTGTAATTTTAGATGTAATAACTTCAAGACTTTCATCTAAACTGGCCTATAATTGCTTTCCAAAAAACTATTATAAAAAAACAATTTTTATACATTTTCAACATCCTATTTCTATCATAAAAAAAAAAGTTACGTCACTGAAGACTTTTGTTCGTCGTGTGATGGTTTGAGACTGATAACGCTGTTTTTTGAACAGGCAAATTAAAAAATAATGTTTTGAGGAATTAAAAAAAAGTAGATTAAATTAGTAGGTTACATAAAGCAAGGATGAGCTTAAAGTTTCTTCACATTACATTTAACTTTACTTACTTTCAACTATTTAATCGTATTCAACCAAATTAACTATCTTACTAATATATAAAGCAAAAGCGCTAAAACCGTTGTAATCGCTAACCGCGAGAACTACTGAACCGATTTCGTTAAAATTTTGCACACTGATTCATGATACTTCCTAGATGGTTTTAGCAAAGTTTTTATCTCAAAAAATTTAACAACAATAGCAATAAATGAGCTCAAAGTTTTGCAAAATATGCCAGCTTTTCTCTTTAGTTCAGCAAAATCCGTTAGGTGGCGTCGACATAAAATCGAAGCTACCTGCAACGTAATTAAATAAGTGTGGTTATAATAGGCTAGAGCGTCTCCATAATTTTGAAGTCGAGTTATGACAACTCAACGAGCTGTATTGAAAATGCTGATAACAGTCTTGCAGCTGGGTATCCCGGTAACAGACGACACTCTTCTCTAAGGGGGAAGGGACCTAGGTGTCCATTTACCCTGAAACTCGATAAGTGCGATAAAAAAAAAAAAAACTAATCTAAACTGATGCCATCTCTGCCACAATACCAGGAGACATTTGTAGCCAGAGCACAATCTGGTTCAACTCATCAGAGTTGTGAGGGAGTCCCACCATTCCACCTGATGCAGTTAGAGAATTTGTGGCTTCAAATGTAAGCAAAGGAAAATCGCTCTGAGCTCTGAGGGGCATGGGCAGTCACAACGGCGACCTTCTTGGTCGTCGCGTCCCCAATGCGCTTACCCACATGTTCCCGTCTAACGATGAGCGGTTGGTTATCCGGGGAACGACCCAAAGACGAGATATTTTTTGGTCAGCGGCGTACTTCCCTTCAGCACAGTCTCCGTACATCGAGACTTCCAGGGTAAGAATCAAGCAACCTTAGCCAGCTCTTCATCATCAGGAATAAGAATAGCCTGGAAGTTTCACCACTGGCACTTTTTAGCGCCATTATAAGTATTTACGTTCCCTACTTAACCACCAATTTCATCGGTTCTTTTTAGGATCTACCTAAGTGTAAACTACCTTGCCAACAAATACATTTTTATAACCGTTTCCGGAAGCGATTCGTCGAATAAAAGACTATATTAACTAAAGACGGGCACTATTAAACCAAGTCAGCCATTCACTAGCAGACGTCACCTGCGGAGTTGTTCTTCGCAAGGCTGGAAAACCCGGTGACCGACGACCCTATACTACCCTCTCGACTCTAAGCATTCAACCAGGAATCACTGATCCTCTCCAAGGTCTGCGTTGGGCAAACCTATAACAGCTATGAAGGAAAAAAAACTTGAGCCAACGGGACAGCCTCCACTGGACAAGTATCACTAACCAATCTCCCCATCTAAGATCACCAAAACAACTGAATCTGCAAATAAAAAAGGTGCTTTAGACACCAACGTCTTCGACGTTATACCGGGAGACGTTGGGAAAGAGCACTACAACTAGCCCCAAAGCTTCGGACTTTGTAATTTTTCTCCCAATCAGTCTGGGTCTTCAACAGCAAGCCAGAGAAGATCACCCTGAGGTATCCAGGCAGTCACAATTGCTGTTAACTGCAGTCAAGAAAGAGTTAACTTAAGAAGCTCACCGGTCTTTTTTAGGGCCATCGGACGTCGAACTACCTTGCCAACAAATATATTAGAACTTAACAAAGTTGACAGAAAACAGCCTTTAGGGGTCACACAAATTTTAAGCATGCCAAAAGTCGCAAGAGGGTGAATTGGAAGAAAAACTTCAAGTGTATCTAATAAATACAATTTTACTTAGGCGTCAAGAAACTGACGCAGAAAATTTATCGAGATTGGAACAGCAGCGTCAAAATCGACAACTAAAGAGTCCATTACGTGAGAGATCAGCTTTTCATTGTACCCTCACAGCAATCTCTGAAATCTTTGAAGATCCTAATTCAGATTTTTAAATAAGTAGAAAATGTATTTGTGTTTTTGTAGCAATAAAAAATGTAGGGCTTAAGGTCCAGGACTTTGTTGTTCTGGTAATAAAGTTGTGAGATAAGAGAAAAAACTCTTTTTTCAATACATATTTTTTGGGGGTTTAAAATCTTAACAGCTTTAAAAAATAGCCGTTTTCGTGAATTACACGGGAGAAACTGTAAATCAACGGCTTCTTATAGCCACCGATTATTTTATGGCATAAAAAACGCACGGTACTTTTCAGCATAATAATTTTTTTGAATTCTTACACCTCATTATTTAACCAAATAAACTATATGGATTCCGAAAAAATATGTTTTTAATAAGAAGATTTTTGTTCTGAGATGTATCAGGAATATGTGTAAAATTTCTAACTGAAAATGTTTCACATTCCATGTCAACACACTACGGTGTTTTATTAAGTAAGTCTCGGGCGAAGCCGAGACGGGGGGCTGCTAGTATATTTATATTTTTGACGATTTTTCGTTTGTGCTCAATTTAAAATAACATTTTTATTGCTATTCATCCAATGGAAATGTTTTGAAATCTATTGACACATTTTCCCTTAATAGTAGCGGACTAGTTCGTTAGTGAAAAAGCACTTGAACGTATACTTTTTAAACTGTCTAACTTACAAATAGATTCATCATGTAATTAGCATAATCTTTATAAAAAACACCATTGAATGTATCGTAAAATATATCAACTTACTGTATATACACAACTATTAAAAATCTAACGCACTTGACATCTAACCACTTGACGTATCAACCTAAAGGTAAAAAGTATTACACCTGTTATCAGTCCAAGTTGATAGGAAAAGTCAACGTAAAGAATGAAAATCTCAAACGAGGTGGAAAATTTAAAAATAAAATATTCCGAGCGATACATGTATGTTAGTTTTTGTTGCTTAACACGCAATTGATTTGAGTTTCAGGCTTCTCAGATTTCAAAAAAATAAAGCGCACGTGTCCGACCTCACGCTCAAAACAGCATGTCACTGTGGCATTGATCAGTGACCATGAGTGGGATAGACAGGGCAAAGGTGTCAAAATTTAAGTGGTATCCATCAACTCGAGCCGAAAGCTAGGTAAATCAAATATTTGCACGTGTACTAAGCAAAACAATCGGAGGGTGTGTTCGTTTTGTCCCAACAACAGCCACGATTGCGGAAACGCGTGCCTTTGTAATTGAAACCCCATAAGTACTCGAATGAAAATAATATTTTTACAAGTTGCGGAGCCTAACGATGTGTGAAAATAGCAAAGGGGCTGGGGTACGGCGTCATTCCGTTTTTCCATTCTTTGATCTTTCGTATGAAAAAAAAGTTCGTGGGAAACGTTTTTATTTGCTTTGGAATACGCTGCTAAGTGTTTTATTATCAGTATACTTTTTGTTGAGAAAGTCATTCAGAACTTAAGTATTGTTCTTTTAATAATTCATTAGGAAATATTTCACGACATAAAAACATTGTATACATGATTTCCTTGACTAAGTAGAAAGTGGCTAAAGTAAATTTAGATGGTTCTAAACTACCCATTATTGCTCAAGATAACCTGAAGCCACTTGGAAAGATATTAAAAATACAATATTTTTTTCAAACTAAGGATCTCATGCCTCCTTTAGCTGATAAAAGCGGTAGCTTGTTCTGACAGATTTTTTAAAGTTAATGGCACCCGTTGTACTACCAATATCTTTATTACGCGTTTAATTAATCGTAAAGATATTTCTTTGAAAAATTTCTTCGTGAATCACGTTTCAACTTCCTACGTATGTTATGTAATAAGCACTTTTATAGTGGATGAAAAATAAAAATGTATGCTATGATCATTTATTCATACTACGTTATCATCATTTATAGAAAAACAAAAGTCTGTTAATGGGAAGACTAAAAGATAAATATATTACCAAGATTGAGAAATAAATTTATAATTTTATTGTTAACAAACTCTGTGTAGAGTGCAACAAAATAATTGAACATGAAACTGTATTATTTTTACAATTAGATTTCTTTATTCATTATTTACTCTTCATTTTTTTGTTGACCTTCATTTTCTTTCTTCTTTTCTCTGAAATTCATCTCCTTTTCTATAATACATTTCTTGTAATGTCCACCTACTTCACAGTCAGATTTTTCGTTAGCTGCAATTCAAATAAGAAATTCATTTAAGTAAAATAAACATCTATGAGTAACCCTGTTACAAAGTCCCAGGATACAGAATAAATCTAGATATTTTGTTAAGAAATCGTGATGGAATCCTAGAAATAATCTTCTCTGTTCAATTTTTACCTTCTTTAACACATCCTTGGACAATTTCTTTTTTAGTATCATTCATCTCCTCGTGTTTCGACATTTTCTCGATTATTATATCTTCATTTAATTTGCCATCGACGATCTAGAAGATGTGAATTCAATTAATAAATTTAATCATACAAAATTGTATAATGTGCTACGTACCATTTCCTTTTTCTTGAGCATACAAGTAAAGAAGCATTTAACTTTAGCATCTTCGAAATTTATCTTTTCTAATTTTTTGAATTCTGAAAAAAAAATTGTATGCAGGAAGATATTTTTCGTGCTCAAAAATGAAAGTAAAGTATAGTTAAAAATTCAACCATTAGTTATTCCAACTTCTTTCTTGCACTCATTCATTTTTTTATGATCACGAGCTTGGGATGGAGTGCAAACCTTAAAAATAATAAAATGTTATTAAATGCGTAGTAAAGATTCAGTATAAGAAAATTGTATCTATTTTTTATTGAACACAACTATTTATCAGACATTTCCTTATGTAAAATTTAAATTTATTACAAATAATGAATTATAAAAAATGTCCAATATGTGAATGGTTATTTATTTATTTTTATTAGCTAGTGACACTTCACTTACTGCAACAAAGAGAACAGCCAGCATGCAAATGAAAACCTTCATTTTGCTTAATATTTATGACAGTCACTAACGATCTGCGGATACTTTTGGAATGGTGCGACTGCTAAAACTTGTGCCTTATTTATATCGTTGAAAATTTTCGTGATGAAAGAACAGAATGTGTTATTTTTTTACGTAATGGCTATAACAATTTGTTTGCCTTCAATGCGGAAACGTAAGGAAATCGTTTAAGTAATGAACAACGCATCCGGCCAAATAAACCATTTATTCTACAAATACAGACTCAATGTGAAACGGTGAATTTTTTAAAATCTATTTTAGATATTATATAGATAACATCAGCTGAGGAAAAAATTATGGCATTGCATTAACAATTTTTTACTTAGATTTACTATTTTACGTATAGATAACTAATTTTTTTTTTTAATTCATTTCAGATTAAACATCTTTTATTTACAGATATCCAATACTGTCAAATCATTCTCAGCAGAAATTAAAACTGTATTCCTTCCAAAAATTAAAAAGTATTTTGCAGTTTAATAAAGAAAAGTTCACTCAGAGTAATCTGAATCTTATTTTTACCTTGTCCAGTAGGCCTCTATGGTAAAATAATTTTCGTGCTGTTATCCAAAATTATCTATTTTTTGTGTACATTCTACAGCTCAGTGTATTTTTCACAGTATTTTTTGTCCTTGTCAAGATTTAATTTCCTTTTTTAGGCCTGCAGAGCTATGACTAGCAAAGCTTACTTTTTGTTTGTCACTGGAGTTCCTTCCTTGTTTAATATGTTACACAATGCAATATTTCACACCACAACTTTTAGTTATTTTTGATGTTAGATTTTACATTTTTTTTTAAATGCATTTTTATCATGCCATATTGTAGTATTGGGAAGTCTCGTTGTTGAAGCTTGACAGATTTTTTTCAAAATTAAAGTCTGATCAGTTTCAGCCAAACTTAATAATTTCTACTTAGTTTATACCATTTTTTTTCTTTAATGTTTGTATGAATATAACGATTATATTATATACATCACATGGTTGTCTCGAGCCAAGTGATCTGAACAATTATTAAAACTTGTAGAGCTTTGCGAGATTAAACATTTTCTATTCTTGTTTTCTATCATATTACATTTTAATACAATAACGAAGTATGTTCATATTTTAGAACTCAAGCTTTTAGGATATTCCTTTAAAAAATCAAATATATTATAATACGAGACAAGATCATGTTGGTAAAGGAAAATTAATACAATATTTTCAATGTTTTTCAAGAACTACAGATACAATGTTGGCCTAACTGTCGTGAGACCCAACATCAAAATTTCAAGGGACTTTGTTTTTAACGTATTCGATTGACTGTGCTATGAATAGTTATTGCAGTATTTACTGATAATTTAAGTTATTTAGCACCAAAATATCTTGCAAAACTTACAGATGTCAGATAGTACGAAAAAAATTTTTTTAATTTTAATAAAATCCAAAAGTTAAGAATAACTTCACTTCTGTAAAGATATACGAAGGGCATGTCATGTAAAAAAAAGGGCAAATCATGTAAAAAAATTTTTTTAAATGACACGGCTGAATGATCCAAAATTTAAACGTGTTACTCTTCAAGATATCGATTATAACGAAAGTACATGCGGTTTGCTTACTTATACTTTTTATATTAAAATGCGTAACTTTAAAGATGTAAATACCCTAAAAATGTCATAACCGATCTTTGTTAAAATTCAACTAATGATGTATGACGATATTACGAAGCGATACCCAAGATTTGAAATATCTGTATTGAAGGTCGGTTATTGGATCAACAACTATCTTGAAGACATTGGTTAATGGTATCGGAAAAATCTCAAGTATTCGCTAATCTAAATCTCAGATTCTTCCTGCCATTACGATCGTACAAGCGATATGGACATGGAAAACTATTATTTTGCTGATATATGTATTTCGAATTGCAACAGCTATCAATCGCAAAGGAAAAATAATCGTTTCAGCAAGTGCTCTGTATGCATGCAAGTGTTTTTCAGAAGTAAAGAATAATGAGAAGCAGAAAAAAAATGCTATGAAACGGCAGCGGATAAACAAGTGAAATCGTCATCCGATGCAAGGAAGATAAATACGCGACGGGCTGGCAATCATCATTGCTGCAAGCGGAAAAAAGTCTGACTTATTGTATGCTAATACAGTACTTTCTGCTCGAAGGTCCTCTCGATAAGCTGGCAAAGACATTGCCATCTCCGCTTTTATGATTCTTTTCTTCATTTTATACCCCATCTTTTCTGCCATTTGTGTGTTTCTCGTTTGACTTTTGAGAATGAAATATTTTGTGTTTCAATCATAAAAACAATATGATGTTGCTAACTGATCCAACTAATGGATAATGTGAGTGTCTCATGACTGAATCCGACGTACTTTTGCAACGTTTGATAAGTACATAGGTATTGAACATTAATGTGAAAAAACAGCATCCAATTTTCATGCCTTTTAATGCATAAACACACACCGAGTACTCTACACCTAATGTTTAACTATTTTCACTGTTCTCCCACTTGTAATTTTCCAGGACATACCCTACCGATCACTATCGCGCTAATCTCGTCGCTCCCTAGAAAGCATTCATTTTTTTTTTTTTTTTTTTGATCCAAACATCCACGGTATCCTTCGTAAAGACAATAAAAGTATTACGAATTCCTCATTAATCCTCCACTCCGGTGGAACAGGAGGCATGACTGTACAAAGGGCGCAAATAATCGGCCATAACGAAATGACGGAAATGAATATTTAGCGTCAGCCTCTGCAGCGCGGGAATAGGCTGATGCATGTGGCGAAACGTTATGCGCGACGGAAACGGCTCTGGTATAGGTTTTTTTTTTTTTTTTTTTTTCGCCGGACGCTCCTTCTCCGGCTGATGTGCACGTACGACGCTGGCGCCCGAGCGCACGAATAATAGGGCCGGCGTCGTGAGCTCTCCTCCCGGGCTCGTTAAGCCGTTCTTTTTAATTTCCCTCTCACTTCGTGCCTATTCCCTCCCTCCCTCTCTTCCTCACCCACCGCGACATGAGCCAGGATGGGCTGGGCCCTGTTCCGAGACTTTTAAAGGCATCGTTACATTTTACTTCTGGTTCCCATACTCCCGGTCTAGCTTGCGGTGTGAATGACTGCATGTAAGTTCACCGAGGCATACAGTGTATACGCTGTGACGCGATATTAGTTCGTTTCGATTTTGCCCTTTCGCTCTTGCCATGCGCGTGACAAATCAGTAGGTGCTCGAGGTATCGTTTTACGGTAAATGCAGTCGTCCAGAAAAAAAAAGTTTTGATGAAGACTCGGAGTTGGAGAGATTTTTAATGATCTCTATTAACTGTGCAGGGATTCTTGTTGAGAGCGGAAAATTGAGCTGAGGAAAAATCGGCTAAACTGGAGGATAAAAAAAGAAAAGAAAAGAAAAGAAGAGAAGAGTAGAGTGACGGAATAATGAATGTAGTATCCTACCGAGCGATTAAAGTCTCCCGCACTGCTCCTCGAGCGTTTTTCTCCTCCCGCCTAATTGGTACCACTCGAGAGAAAGAGAGTATAACCTTTTTCCCCCCTTGTATTCGGCGCCGTCGCTCTTTTCCGCCCTTTTAATTAAACTTTCGTGCTTTTTAGTGGCGACGCCAATGCCACTCCACCGAGTAATTATGTTCTCTCCGGTCGCTGTTTCGAGGGCGCGATTCGGAAAATTTTTTTTCAACTTTTCGACCAGACGCCAAGGTTTACTCTCGAGGAAATTGAATTTAAAGACATTCAGTGTAGTCGCTCATATTGCATCTTTTTACTGTAAAAGCTAAACAGGTTGGAGGCAATTTCACTCTGTCACACGTAGAGACTCGAAAACCAATATTGTGTAATATCGAAATGTATGACGGGCTTTGCGACATTAAAAGTGGAAAACATCTTTGTGACATTGTACTTATTTCGTTCGATCGAGAATGCGTGTAGCAAAAAGTCGTGAGACTCGGGATGTCTTTATCCGTGTCTCGGTGGGGAGCGACAAAGATGCGAGCACCTGTCTCTAAGGAAATTTCCGTGACGCTATCGATAAGCAACCCGAGAAAAGGTGGGAAAGTTTTTTCACGAAAACTCTGGAAAATTCAATTTCCCGTAGCAGCGATATCTGCATCGTGTGGGCAAACTTTACTTTTTACTTCATTCACAGAGAAGAAGGTGTCAAGTTTCTTTTTCCGTGATGTTGAAACTTTGAGGTTTTTTTATGATATAACATATTACTGGACAGTTGTAATTTATTTTACTAATTATTAATTACGAAATTTGGTCAAACAACAGGTTTTACAGAAAAATAATTTACTCAAGAATTTTTTTGATCAAATCACAATTCATCTGATTTTATTCTCGATTTTATTACAAATTTCTTTTTTCATCAGTACCATAACTTCCAATTTCTTCAAGAACTGCATTACATTTTTCGGAGTGCTTGTTTTTATTTTTTTAAATCTCACCATTGAATAAACATCAACTCCTTTTCACTGTCAACAGCGACTCATCTCGTTAATTTTTGTTTTCAACAACAATCCTCGTCTACAATTATTAAATTTGGAGACATTTTATTATTCGAGTCTGAACAAAATACATTTAATCGTAATTATAAAAGTCTACCATATCTAACCTCATCGTCTCAACTACCCCACCAGGTCACTAGCTCAAGAAAATACATTTCAAGCTCGTGATTAAGAAATACGATCACCTCCATGACAGTTTATTCCTACACCCATTATTTTTTAATAATTGTTTAGTCGTAATATTTTGAAGCTAACTCAAGTACTCAAGTGCTTTTATTCGTTCTTTATAATATATAATGTGAATAAAATGAAAATCCCCTGGAACGACCCAAGCCGGAATGGGTAAAACTGCTTCACAAAATCAAAGTCTATTCCCTCCACGAGGAACAGTTTTCTCGTGGGGGTTAAAACACGAAAGGCGGGAGAGGAAAGGGGATCATCGATTCGAAGCTCACGTCCCGGGATTACCACCTCATAC